TGTTGAACAATTTGTATAGTTAATTTGTTATTTGCTCGAATTTTCTAGAATGGTGTTTTAAATATGGATAATTTGTATTGAGAGATTGATATTTGACTTTAATTTTGATAGGATCTTGTTATTGTAAATTTTTTTTACGACAAAAACCCGTGCGTATTTATGAACCCGCGGATACACAGCGGGTTGGGTTGGGTTTGAGTTTTTCAAACCCAGTGGGTTTTATCCCGGGTTTTTTTCACGGATAAACCCATGAGTTTTGATTTGGGTTTGGCAAAACCCGACCCAACCCGACCCATTGCCATCCCTACACTCGACTAATTAGTAGTCCAAGACACATCACCCAAATTTTGGCTTTAATGTGAGCGGCAGCACCTAATGGCTGTCAAGGAGACAACTCTTCTCCTTCCCTTGCTCGCAACGAAAGAAATAACCAATTCAACAAAAATATTTTTAAAGTAAGGAGGCCAACCATAGCAGTTTTTACTTTAACCTTTGGTTCTTTGAGTTAAGAGTTGCGGTTTGGACCACAAGAGTTTCATTTGCTAGCCAAGTTTGGTTTGAGTAAACTGGTGGCCACTCTACCTAGCCAAATTTTGGCTATCACATCAACTCATCAAGTCACTACAATGAGATTGAACTCGATGTCAAAGCTTACCTCATGCCTTAATCAAATTTTGACTTTTAATGATCAAGTCAACACGGTCGGATGGAACTTGCCATCCAAACTTGTCCCATGCCTTCGCCAAATTTTTGCTACCACATCAAGCCAACATGACTGGATGGAACTTGTCATCATAACTTGTTACATGCCTTAGCCAAATTTTTGCTACCACGTCAATTCAACATGGCTGGATGGAACTCGTCATCAAAATTTGTTCCATGCCTTAGCCAAATTTTGACTATCATGTCAAGCCAACACGGTGGGATGGAACTCGTTGTCCACTTGTCTCATGCATTAGCCAAATTTTGGCTTTCAATGATCAAGCCAACATGGCCGGATGGAACTTGTCGTCAAAACTCGTTCCATGCCTTAGCCAAAACCTGTCTCATGCCTTAGCCAAATTTTGGCTTTCAATAAAAAAACCATCATCTCTCACCCAAACCCTCTTGAATTCTACTCAAAACACTTGTTGCCATCTAGTACTTCGCCACTTGGTTGAGCAAGTAACTTAGAATTTTTTCGCACAAATTTTAACACGGAACGACTCATCTCACCTTGTCACAAGGCTACGCAGCTCCCTCACGACAACTTAGGTTGTCTACCCTTTGCATTAGAACAATAATGTTCCTTTTTATCCTGTTAGGGACAATAGGGTCACCACTCCTCTACTACCACATTTCAAACAATCATGCCAACCAAGTCATGGATACTCGGGACAAGACAACATTGCATGATATGGCATGATGTATGACTCGACATGTCAAGCCATCATAACGAATTGGTGGCAAGATCTTCATATCAAAGTCTAACAACTCAACCTCAATATTTTCACTTTGATATTCTCTCTATCTTTTCTTTTAGCCATGGCGGGCTACAATTTTTTTCTATAAATAATTTATAATAAGTATATTGTATAAATTTAATAATTTTATAAGGTAAGAAGTGACAGATGTCACTACTCTCCATATCCTTTGGCAACAATCAATGTACTAAAAGTGTACACCCATGCCAAGTCCATGGATCAAACTAGACATGCCATTCATAGACCACATGGCTTTTTTCATCCATGGGAGATGACTCTCCATATATTGGTTTTGAACTTTTCCTCTTGCTAGTGGATTGTACATGGTTGACATGTCTTGTCTTGGTGGCCTTGCATGAGGTCTCATGTTTCTTTGACTGGGTCACCTTACTTGACATGTTAAGGCGATCGTGATTGTTCTTCTGCCTTACTTTCCTCCCACTTGATACATGCTTAGTATCCTCATGTTGTTGGGGACCATGTCTAGACTTGACAAGTCGACAACCAATCATGTGGATTCCTTGACTTTGCCTTTCAGCATACAAACCTTGCTGGCTCTTATACATAGCACTCAACCACCATTGGTTCTTTGTGCAACCATATTTGGTTGGTGTGTATAGTCTATAGTGACTTCTTACACTGCCTCCATGTCTACCCTTTGTGGTTGGTGACAAGTTCCTACTACTCATTGACATGGACTTGCCCCCCTATCCACCCCTGTCTATGATCTCACGCTTACAAAATTCATGTGCGGGTTTGACTTGTTGTGTCTTCTTGGATATGCCCTCTACTCCATTCTTCATGGTGGGTGACATGATCCCTTGTCCAGACTTAGCCAAATTTGCAAGACTTTGACAACTCTTTCTTCTTTTCTCACGTCTTTGCTTGTTGGACTTTCCCCCTTGTCTATACTTAGCCATATTATCATGTTTGTCACAAACATGTGTGGCTTTGGGTTGATGTGGCATCTTGGACACCACCTGCCCCCCAGATGGGCATCTCGAGTTCTCTTCGCCAAGCTTGAGACTCTTCTTGTATTGAGCACACAACTTCTCACCCTCATCTGTCATTATTATGACCAGGTTGGCTTGAATGGAAGTTGACGAGCTTCCTTGCTCAAAAACCACATTGTGGTTCCTTTGAGGCGACATTGTCTCCAAGACCAGTTTGAAACGTGGCAACACGACTTTGGAGAAGTGGGTTGACCATGTTGACGCCAAACACATTGGGGAACATATCAGTGTCCACCAACATGGCATCATTCTTTGCCTCACGGAACTTGATGTGTTCCTTTTCAATGACATCTTGCAAGACATTATGAAAAGCTACACAAGTACAGTGGCATGTGACATGCTATTATGCCACTTACAATACTTCTTCCCTTTGAACTTCTGAGGTGGGGGGAAAACATGTACTGTCAACTTGACTTGACCATCTTAAAAAATTGGTCAAAAGTCAAGTTTGCCTTCGAGACATCAAAGGAGTACTTCCTCGACTGAATGGGCGCACGATTTGGTCTTCCCCCTTGTGTACCATCTTCAACTTTAGACAAGGAAGCACAGACGTATGGTTTCCCTAAAGTTATCTCAGCCAAGTCTACCTCTACCTCAACCTCATTGGCCTCGTGGCCAAAATGATTGGTGGTATAGTCTAAATTTGGGAAGTACGATCCCCTTGAGGCACTCCTACGATTCTCTTCCTCGTGTAGAAGAGACTCGTACCTCACAGCGCAAGACATGAGTTAAAACAAGTCAGAGAACTCCCTATCTTGGAATTTCTTCCTTAGTTCAAAACTCAAACCCCCTTGTGCCAGCTTGACAAACTCCCTCTCTGTCAAATTTACAAAGCAACGGTTACGAGCATTCTTGAAGTTAGTCAAGAAATGCTCCACTGATTCCCTGAATGTTGACGCATACGTGCCAAGATCAGCCATGGACACCTAGGGCTCAAATCTATAAAATTGAGCATGGAAAACTTGCTCCATTTGTTGCCAAGTCTGGTTGGAGTTAGACAGCAAGTTGATGTACCATTGAAATGTGAAAGCGTTGGAATTTGGTATCCTCATGGTGGGATCAGATCAATGTTGCCACATAGACCTCCTCCTACTCCCAAATTCATGGGAGCGACGTAGGGTCTTTCCTCTGGGACAGAGGGACGAGCACCCACTTGCACGGGTGGCTGCTCAACTTGAGTGTTGAACATAGTGGCGAGGTTCTCAGCATGCGAGGGTACTACTTCAACTCCCACGCGTCCATGTGACGACTCCCCCACTTGAGCAATAGCAGGAATCTCAACATGATCTACTCGACGTGGAGGTGGTTGGCTTGCCATCTGAGACGGCAAGTTCACTTGCCGTGGTTGGCCATTCCGGCCACCGGCTGGAGACAAAACATTAACAGTAGACGTTGGGCTTATGTCATCTGATGGCAATGCTCTTGACTGCACTATTGGTCTACTTAAAAACTGTCGGAATTGATCCAACTCATTCGTATTTTTGTTAACTACTTCAAGCAATTGACTCAAACGTCTATTTACACGAGAATTGAGACAGTCAATTTGAGCATTTACCTTATGAGTACTAGCCCTAGCCTGCTCCATCATACGACGATTCTCCATCAGCATTTGGCGGTTCTCCTCCGTGGATTTACGGTTCTCTGTCACCATCTTGCGGTTCTCCTCCATCATCCGACAAAGGGCTCCCGCGACTTCACCAAGATCTCCACTAGGCGTGGTCGCCACCAAGACCTCCGCTCCACCATTTCCTCCGGTCACCGCCTCTAATGTTTGGCCATGCTCGATGTTGGTCACCTGCTCCTCCACGAAACCAGTAGGAATGTCAACTTCTTAATACTTCCACCTCGGAGCCATCGAATCGACCACAAGTGTCCCTCTAGGTGTGCCAAATTTGTTTTCCGAGGAGAAAACTTGTGTTGAATTGAGATTGATTGCACCTTGACTTATTTGGACAACTATCAACTTAACACGGTTCACACCTCTTCAAACAATGTTCGAACGAGAGTGTTCGATGTTTACACGACTCACAAGACAAAATCTACATTAAATTACCCTACTCCTATGGAGGTTCTGTGAGAGCTCCAGATCTACAACTACGACTAAAATTGCAGAGAAAAGGATAAAATTTGACATTGGGTTGTCTAGTGTGAATTTGGAAGACCCATTCTCTGTCAACTCCTCCTCTTATTTATATCCTTAAAGTGGTAACCGGCAGTTACCCTGTTAACCGCCAGTTTTCTTTCTTGGAACTGACGTATTTACTTCCCACCCCCTCCCCCCACCATGGTCAGACGAGCTATTAGGCTAGACGCCAACGTGGTATAAATCTTGGTCTATTAGGCTAGACGTCAACGTGGTCTAGATCTCGCGACCACATTGGTCTATTAGGCTAGACGCCAATGTGGTCTAGATCTCGCGACCAGATTAATTCCTTCCCGGAGATTTAGTGATTTGGGGTTAAAAATCTAGTACCATAAGGCCCAAATTAAATAACAGAATTGTTATTATTATTGAACTGACCGTATAAAAACAATTAATACTTTGTGAATAATCAATCTAGTACAAAATTATTATTTTTAGGTGTAAACATGGACAACAACCAAAGGATCGCAGAAATAAGAGCGCAAAGAACCACCAACCATTTGCCACCTCGGTAAGACAATGGTGTGCATCAACTTTCATTGTCAAGTGTGATAGATGAAGGACCCCAACCAAGAGGATCACAGAAGCAAGAGCATGAAGAAGCAGCAACCAATTTGCGGAACATTTGCATCCGTTGTCTCTTCATTCTTCTGCTTCCTTTTCTTCTTTTTATCCTCTACACTCTCAAAAACACACCAGTATCACAGTATCAGGCTTCTGATTCTTGACATTTTGGAATCAACAGCCCATAATCATCCTCGTCAACCAACAAGGTTGTAACTCAAGTGGTTAAGGTGTTCGGACTCGCCTGAGGAAGTCTTTCAATCATTAATGAAAAATGGGATCACCTGAATCAAAAGAGAACAAAAAATATCAACCTCGCCCATCTCCTTGAGTGAAAGAAAACCTGTAACGCAGCAATGTGCAACAATAACAAAAGCTTCCGCAACCTCAAACTCAGTCCACATTAGAATATACCACGACGTACATACTTTATTCAAATACATGCCCATTCTTCGAACAATCTTTCTTATTTTTTGTCACATCCTGTCCAAACTATATGTTCCCCGTAACTCTAAAGCTATAAAATCACTATATGCTTATATTTAGGTTGCTATTGTTTTTATGTCAGAAAACACATTAATTTGGGGTTTCTATTATTATATTAGGTAGGATAATTATAATTATGGTTTGTAGAGATTTAGTCATATCAGGATTATTATTAGGGGTTTCCAGTATTTTCCTATAAATATGTACTTTGGGTTTACGTCATAATCAGTCAAGAACAATATTAAGAAGAATCTCCTAAACCCTAGTTTATCCTCTCAACTCCTAATTTCTATTCTATTCTAATCCAAAGCCTCGGCCGATTCCCAATACTATTCTATTCTTTCTCATCTAAATCCCTAATTCTCTAATCTCAACCCTAAATCCCTAATCGTCACGAGAGTTACGGGTGCCGAAGATCAGTCACGAGAGACCCTAGAAGTGGGTTTCTCACAATTGGTATCAGAGCCCGGTTGTAGGCACTCGTACCAGAGCCATGTCGAAATTCGAAGTTCCCTCAATCAAAGAACTCACCATGGTTCTTAGAATGAAGTTGGAGGCTGCGAGAGTGGAGATGAGTCCAATCACCCCTCCAACCACAGCCATAATCGAGCCGTTGGTTGCTAAAATAGAGAAAGAAGATTTTCTAGCGGCTGCTGTGACACCACCACCGTCGTCGTTAGCTTTTCCGCTAACCGACGTCGCTGCCGGAAACATCAAACAGTCGCAGCTGTTGGTGATCACCAACGAGCCGACGAGAAAAGGAAGAACGACTCCACCATCGACAGCAACGACCTCTTCTGTGACATCACCACCGTCGATGGTTGTTCCCACACGAGTGGAGACGAAGACGGAGGTTGATGGAACTCTGGCGGCAAAGCTGCCGGCCACGAAAGGAATCCCAACATGAACCACAGTCGTCGCGGTGAAGACCAAGGAGCAGAAGGGGGTCACCAAAGCGACTAAAGCTGTTGTGAGCCAAGAAGAAGAGGGTTTTGTCACCCCTGTCGTAGTTCCAAGCAACGAGATGACTTCCGTTCACAGAGAAGAATCCCCAGCAGAAGGTGTAGAGAGAAAGGTCACGCCGGGTCGCACGACGAATTGGCGATTTCGGAAGAAGCCACCGGGATCCGACGAGGAGGAATGGATTGCGTCGCAGAAGAAGCGACGCGAAAAGGAGATGGCGGCGCCAATCGCGCCAGTAACGCCGCGATTTGATGCGACTCCAGATGCAACTATGACGAATGGAGATCCATCCCAAGCGAGCTGATATGATCCAAATCCGAAGAGAACCCTCGAACTCGGATTATATGACCAAAGTACGCAGCTTCAACGATCTTTTTATGATTTTTTAATGTCTCCTTTCTTGAACTCGAAAAATAAAAGATAATGCGGAATCAATCGGACAATCTCAACCGTGATGAAGGGCAATTGGTATATGAAACCAATCGGACAGCACCAACTCGTGGAAAGGGGCAATTGATATAGGGTAGAAGCTCGCCACAACTAGACGCGTTCTCTAGTTGATAAGAGACACGTGAAACCTCTGGAGCACTCTCGACAGAAGCTTGCACAAAGAACCAGTTCGTTTGAACTTGAAACTTGAAAGTTGATTGATAATAGAATGAATTACAATGAGGGACTCATCCTCCTTATATAGGCAACGAAAATCCAATCCTAAACTAAGAAAGAAAGCAAACAAATAACCAAATCCTACAATTAAAAGGAAAACAAAACCTTAAAGGAAAAGTAAAAGGAAAACACAATCCTTAAAAGATAAGGAAAAGACTTGGTCAACAACTCCCTAGATTCTAGTCTTGCAATCCTCCCTCACATGGCTTGTGTTCACACCTGATATTCCTTTCACACTTGTATTCCTTTCACACCTTGTGTTCACACCATGGGAGATCTTCCTTCCTTCTACCAAGCTCATCTTCTCTTCATTCTAGTCCATAAAGAGAACAACGTGATGGACTTTCCTTCTAGCAAGTCCACATCCATCAAGAATGATCCCATTTGATCCTTGTCTCGTCGTACTCGGACCTTCATCTTTGGACCACGAGAATTATATATTCTGCCAATTGATTTCACATCAACAAACTCGTAGGCCTTGCTTGCAAAGACCTTTACTTCCACCTTGAATGCTTTCAAGCTCTCTTTAAACCTCTTAAATCGTCTCTTGAACCATGGTCCATGTAGATATCTAGTTTGAGCTCGAGTGACGCCATGCGGGGTGAGCGGGGTCGCATCATTCCCTCCCTCTTGAAAAAGATTTGACCTCAAATCTTGCTGCGACATATAAATTCTCTCCCGTGACTTGATTATTTTCCCCCTTGACCATGCACCTTGAAAGCTAAGATGATCCACAAACTCTTGGAGTCTTCGTCTTTCTCTAATATGAGCCTCTATGTATGTCACTTCATCCCCAATAACAAAATCAATGTGGTCAATAATCTCACCATAATCTTGCATATGAATTGACTTACATTGAAGAGGGTTTTGACCATGCTCATGAGCAGAATTGGGTGGTGTGGGAGTACTTGATGCGTTGATTATGCCTTGGGACGAAATTTGATGTTGTTGTGCGGCTTCTCCCATGACAAAATCAACTTGAGTAGGTGATGACTCATTAATTGTTGGCTTCACATCTTCACTACGTGCTAGCATCAAAGTCTTAGGCTCCAAGACACTAGTTTCACCTTTCTTCTGGCCCACGACACTAGCTTTCTTCTCTTGCTCCCTGTTTCGTTGTAATTGTAATTGGTCTTCATAGACTTCCTTGGGAGACAAGGGCTTCAACACGACCTTCTTTCCTTTATGCATCAATCGATATTTGTTGGAGACTCCATCATGTTGTGCGCTTCGATCGAATTGCCATGGCCTTCCAAGTAGGACGTGTGTAGCTTGCATAGGTACTACGTCGCACAGAACTTCGTCCTTATATCCTCCAATGGCAAATTTAAGAAGAGTTTGCATTGCCACTTTAATTGAACCATCCTCGTTGAGCCATTGAAGCTTGTAGGGTTTGGGATGCTTGATTGTGCTCAATCCCAGTTTGCTAACCGCTATGGTACTAATAGCGTTAGTGCAACTTCCGCCATCAATCACCACGGCGAGCAGCTTCCCATCCACTACACATCTCGTGTGAAACAGGTTCTCCCTTTGCTCGAGGTCTTCTTTGGGTTGCACGCTTAGCATTCTTCTCGTGACAAGCAAACTTCCAGGAGGGGGCTCCATTTCTATTGATTCGTCAACTTCAGATTCTGATGGCTCCCTCGCGTGCTCCTCTTCTTCGGAATCCGAGACATATTCTCCATTCTCTAGTAGGACTAGAGCTCTTCGATTAGGGCATTGGTTGGCCATATGCCCTCTTCCATGACATTTGAAGCATTGAATTCCTCCACTGGAGCCTGTGGGTCTCTCTCTTGGTGCTTCAACCTTGGCTGCCGGTTTTGGTGCTTCTGGTTTTGAAACGGCTGGCTTAGGGTTTGAAGTCGAAGGCACTCCTGGCCTTGGTGCGCTAGAGGGAGGTGTGAACCTTCTTCCAAGGTTACTACGTTGTTGCTTCTCAACTTTGGCCGCCATTGCAACCAAATCGTACAACTCTCTAAATGGTTGAATTTCCACCACATTCCTGATTTCTCGATTGAGACCGTGTAGGAATCGTGCTATGGTGGCTTCATTCTCCTCTACAAGGTCAGCTCTAATCATCATCATCTCCATCTCATTGTCAAAAAAAAAAAATCTCCATCTCCTTGTAGTAATCCTCTACACTTTTTGTACCTTGTCGTAATGTTTGTAGGGCTTGATACATCTCCCTACGATGGTAGCTAGGGACGAATTTATCTCGCATGATGCTCCTCATCTCTTCCCATGTCTCAATAGGGCGTTGCCTATCCCTCCTTCTTCTCGTACAGATTTGATCCCACCAGATGATAGCATAATCCGTGAATTCCATTGCAGCCATTTGAACTTTCTTCCTCTCGGAATAGTTGTGATAGTCGAAAATCATCTCCATTTTTCTTTCCCAATCAAGATAAGCTTCGGGATCGGTAGCACCTCTAAATGATGGAATAGTGACCCTCACATTTCTCAATTCATCTTCAACTTCTCTAAGGTTGGCATCATCGTCGTCATACTCGCCTTCTTCGTCTTGCACTCGAGGATTCCCTCTCCTTGCTCGCGGCATCCCCAAAGGACGATGGCGCCTCAATTGTTCGGCCATGGGTTGTGGAACAATCCTCCTTTCTCCTCGCTCTTCATCTTCTCGCCTAGGCCTCTCGGCATTATGGTTTGGCGGTGCTTCTTGTGCAGGAGCTTGAGGCGCGGCTAGCCTTGCTTCGACAATGGCGAATCGTGCATTAACGTCGGCGGCGTTGGATGCTAAGGTTCGCTGAATTTCCGCCAATTGATCCATCATTGCCTTCATTGGATCATCCATTCTTGTGGCACAAGGTAGTGTTTCTTGCGCTATAAGCCCACAACAATTCACCAAGATTTCTTCAAGAACACTTCAAGATTCCCAAGAACCTTCTTCTTCTCCGCTGTGTTTGAACCAGGCTCTTGATACCACTTGATATGATCCAAATCCGAAGAGAACCCTCGAACTCGGATTATATGACCAAAGTACCCAGCTTCAACGATCTTTTTATGATTTTTTAATGTCTCCTTTCTTGAACTCGAAAAATAAAAGATAATGCGGAATCAATCGGACAATCCCAACCGTGATGAAGGGCAATTGGTATATGAAACCAATCGAACAGCACCAACTCGTGGAAAGGGGCAATTGATATAGGGTAGAAGCTCGCCACAACTAGACGCGTTCTCTAGTTGATAAGAGACACGTGAAACCTCTGGAGCACTCTCGACAGAAGCTTGCACAAAGAACCAGTTCGTTTGAACTTGAAACTTGAAAGTTGATTGATAATAGAATGAATTACAATGAGGGACTCATCCTCCTTATATAGGCAACGAAAATCCAATCCTAAACTAAGAAAGAAAGCAAACAAATAACCAAATCCTACAATTAAAAGGAAAACAAAACCTTAAAGGAAAAGTAAAAGGAAAACACAATCCTTAAAAGATAAGGAAAAGACTTGGTCAACAACTCCCTAGATTCTAGCCTTGCAATCCTCCCTCACATGACTTGTGTTCACACCTGATATTCCTTTCACACTTGTATTCCTTTCACACCTTGTGTTCACACCATGGGAGATCTTCCTTCTTTCTACCAAGCTCATCTTCTCTTCATTCTAGTCCATAAATCGAGCAACGTGATGGACTTTCCTTCTAGCAAGTCCACATCCATCAAGAATGATCCCATTTGATCCTTGTATCGTCGTACTCGGACCTTCATCTTTGGACCACGAGAATTATATATTCTGCCAATTGATTTCACATCAACAAACTCGTAGGCCTTGCTTGCAAAGACCTTTTCTTCCACCTTGAATGCTTTCAAGCTCTCTTTAAACCTCTTAAATCGTCTCTTGAACCATGGTCCATGCAGATATCTAGTTTGAGCTCGAGTGACGCCATGCGGGGTGAGCGGGGTCGCATCACGAGGGCGAGATTCGCTGGATTGGGGCCGCTGGCTCCAACCATGGCGTCCAGCGAAGTGAAGGTAGAGCTAGAGTCAAGCATCACCGATGGGAACTGCTCGCCGAAGAGGAAAGGAGCGACTGATCAGGGGGGGGGGGGTTCGTTGGAGAGGCGAATTGCATAGAGCCGCGATCTATTGTGACCCCTGCCGCGACGACGACGAGCAGGAAGAAAGAGAAGGCGGAAAGGCTGTCGTCGGGACCGCGTTGGCCTCTGATTCGTCGGCCGGGTGGGTCGCCGCTGAGCGAGGAGGCGACATCGATGAGGACGACCGAGATTGAGCCGTCGTCGGAGTACGAGGCGGAGCTGAAGACGGCGGTGGGTTCGGGATGGACTCGTGGTCGTCGAGCATTGTTACCAGAGATGGTGACCTGGACGAAGGCGGTGTCGTCGAGGGAGTTGCAGACTACGGCGAACGAGGAGAAGGAGGCGGACGTCTTCCCTTCTCTCATGAACCCTAGGACGCCAGTCGTGAGCCAAACAACACTGTGGCGGGCCGTTCCGTTGGGCCAAGCCGGTCAGCCGGAGTCTTCGTACGGGCCAACTTTCGTCGGGCTTACCATGGGTAGGTTGGATCCGCTAGGTCCAATGTAGTTAAAAGCGCGATTCTACCTAGAAACGTTGGGTGACCTACAAGCGTAAAACCGTAAGCTTTTAAGTTTTAAAACGTAGATTTTGACTACATTTGTAAGGAGAAATCATGATTATACGTAGAAGCGTTTTGGTGAGCCAAAAAAGGTAAAATCGTAAGCTTTTAAGTTTTAAATCGCGATTATGACTGCATTGGCTGGGTCAACCTATTCTGATCGCCTATGGTAATGGGTCAAGAAGAGTGGGCTTCCTAATGGAGAAAGTGGACAAAAGTCCTAGGAGAAAAGAACTTGATGGGCTCGTTTTGGGCCAACTAGAGCAGCAGAATGGGCCACGAATTTACTCTTTTATTGGATCTATTTTGCAGGAAAAGAGTGAGGTCAATGTGGATTGTGATTTAAAGAAGATAAACTTGGGTGGTTTGCTTTCAAAGGAGCTTAGCCCAAACTCATCTAGAGAAGAGTTCTTTCATTCTTATTTCGTGGACTTCGAACGAGAGGATGGAGAATTGTTCGACTATGAGTTAGGACGTAGGTGCCACATGGTAGGAGGAGGTAGAAGTCAACTACAACCTTGAGGTCAATTGGAAACGAAGAAAGCGGAAGATCAAGGAGGTAGAAGTCAACTACAACCTTGAGGTCAAGGTAGTTTTCAAGGGGGATGGATTGTCAGAAACCCATTTATTTGAGGTTTCTATTATTATATTAGGTAGGATAATTATAATAATGGTTAGTAGAGATTTAGTCATATCAGGATTATTATTAGGGTTTTCCAGTATTTCCCTATAAATATGTACTTTGGGTTTACGTCACAATCAGTCAAGAACAATATTAAGAAGAATCTCCTAAACCCTAGTTTATCCTCTCAACTCAACTCCTAATTTCTATTCTCTTATAATCCAAGTCCTATGCCGATTCCCAATTCTATTCTATTCTTTCTCATCTAAATCCCTAATTCCCTAATCTCAACCCTAAATCCCTAATCATCACGAGAGTTACGGGTGCCGAAGATCAGTCCCGAGAGACCCTAGAAGCGGGTTTCTCACATTTTACTACATAATTGAATTACTAGAGGCAACAGCAGTAGACGTATCTTGAAATCTAGCAGCAATAGGAATGAAAAAAATCTAATCCACTCTATTAAATTTTGGAGTTGAAATCATTTATCCAGAAGAAGACTGCAGTAGACGAACCTTTGAAGAACAATGTCCCAACAACAAGCACAGAACCACAAGTCAGCCTCAACTGTCTTGTGATAATTCAAGATGCCATCATTCATTGGAGAACAAGAATGCAGAAAACCGTTGATCAATTTTCAATGTACACACATAACATCATCAATACTAAGAGAATCAGAAGCTTCTCTCATCACCAAGATGAGGCCTTGCAGCATTTCATATATTGGCTCTGTAGAAGGATGAACCTTATCAGCGGCATAAAAACTGTGGGTTCCATTGTTAAGGCTTATCCAACTGCAACCTGGAGTTTTTTGTAACCCCCTTTCTTTCATCATTGTTCTGATAGCAGCAACCTCATGCCATCTCATGGAAGAAGAAAGCACATTTGAAAGAGAGATGTAATTTGATGGGTTTTCAGGTTCCAAATGTGCAAGGGATCGGTATGCTAGATCCTGCATCTCAGAATTTCCATGCATTGTGTAAGCACTCACAAGAGCTCCCCAAACACTTGGACTAGGCTCTATTGGCATTTTCTTGACGAAATCTAGTGCTTCATCAAGCTGGCCTGATCTTCCTAACATATCAACCACACAAGCACAGATCTCAACTGTTGGCTCCAGCCCATACTCATATACAGCAGCATAATAGAGATGAAGGCCCTCATTTACCAACCCCGACCTCCCACAGGCAGAAAGAATACCAACTATGGTTATCATGTCTGGTTTAGATCCTTGACGAAGCATCTTATAGTATAGGGAGATAGCTTCTTCTCCTTTCCCATGCAACCCATACCCAGAAATCATTGAACTCCAAGAGATTGCATCTCTAGGAAAAGAAACATCATCAAAGATTCGTCTTGCGTAACTCAAGCTCCCACATTTCAAATACATGTCCAGCAAAGCATTGCCTAAAGAAACATCATAATTTAATTGCTTTCTAATCGCATATCCATGGATTTGTCTCCCAAAACTTGAACCAGCAAGTGACCTACCAGCTGGAAGAACACTCAAAAGCGATACACTATTAGGTTCTAATCCATCTCCGACCTGCATGTGACGCAAAAGACATAAAGCTTCTTCCACCTTTCCATTTAACATATAACCATTGATCAGTGCGGTCCAAGAATGAACATTCCGATTCTTCATTTCATCAAACACCCGTCTCCCTATATCAACTCTGTTGCTCCTTGAATACATGTCAATTAAGCAACAGCCCAGATGAGCATCTGAAGCCAGGCCGCTACCCAATTCGTTCCGTAATAGATACCCATGAAGTTCCCTTCCATAGTCCAGGCTGCAGTGAGCATCATAGCACAAACCCAGAAGACTAGACACTGTAAATGCATCAGGCTTTAATCCCTCATTCTCCATATCTTTGACCACACGAGACATCTCCTGCACCAAACTACCTTTTCCTTGGTCTGCATGCCCAGCTATAATAATGTTCCAAGAACTCACGTTTCTCAGCGGCATTTCATCAAACAGTTTCAAGCATTCTTTGCGCTCCCCACATTTACTATACATGGACATAAGAGAATTTGCTACAACGGTACAACAGACAAACCCAATTCTCATAGTCTTCCCATGAATCATTTTCCCCGCATACAAGTCTCTTGATTCCCCATACGCTTTCGACATCGTTGCCAAGGTGTAATCATCAGGCGACACAGAGCCACGACACATCTCACAGAACAAAGCAAAAGACTGGCCATAAGCTCGATTTTTCACGTACGCGTTGATAATTGCGTTCCAGAGGAACACGCTCCTGTCTGGGAGCAAACCAAAAACGAGTTGTGACTCAGTTGGGAGGCCACAGAGAGCATACAGGGAGATGAGTTTGGTTGCCAAGAACGGGTTCTGGGCGAAGCCAAGAGGGTAAATGCGAGAGTGACACTGTCGAATAAAGTTGAGGGATTTGTGCAGATGAGAGAATTCGAGTAAATTGAGAAGAAGTTTGAGACCGGAAGAGCTCATTGCCGGAATGACAGCGAATGTTATGAGAGTTTCCCGTTATTAATACGAGATAGGCCGCCCTGAGCCACCGCCTTTCTATAAAAAAAAAAATGCCAAGCGAATGTTTTCGTTAGCTCTTGAAAAACCAGCACGAATAACTAATCGAATAGGGAATTAGGGATGCAGAGCAGAAACCACACCGCCCTCCCACTCCCCTGTCTCTCTTACCGCCGTTTCCGGCGAGTCACCAGTCTCCGCTTACATGTGCTACCTCCACAACTCCCTCCCTTATTTGGATCCTAATAACAAGCACTTCTCTGGATTCTCGCCCCTGGCTCCCCTTGTATCACAGCAACAGCAAGGGGTGCTCCCGTCGCCGACTTCACAGTTGCTGTTTGGGTTATTTGAATTTGCAGGTGGAGGAGGCTCTGAAATGAATTTCCCACCAGCTCTCGACCTCTCCCGCCGCCAATCCCCTACCATGACCACAGCATTCTGTTTGCTTCCTTCTCCTCCTCAGCCGCCGTCGGCTGTGTATAAGAATTTTCGTGTCTCCCATTTATTTAGCTTTTTAGATTTGGCGGCGAATTAATTTCCATCGGACTTGAAATCGCCTTGTGTGATGTGGCCAATAGGGAACATATCAGTTGAGTAATCTTTATGTGAATAATCGTGAGTAACCCATCCACAGCAGCATGACATCGGCATCCTCTCTTTTCTATAAAGCCTTTAATTTGCCCCTCCTTAATCTTTGACGGACGATTTTTCACTCGTTTTAAGTCGAAATTTAATTTCTTTGCACAGTTAGATCAGATTAATTGTGCTCTTCAAAATGATATCCACTTTGATATATTTTTCGAACAAAAAAAATTGAGCCATTTTTTACCAGTCTATAGCATATGGTATTGACTAGTATTGAAATAAAAGCATACCTATGGTTTGAAAAGCATACCATGGTGGTATGAACAAACCAAGACTGTAGAATGGTTGAATACACGATAGTAGAAGTATATTAATTGTCATTTACGACTTTTAACATTGTGTGCCACAAGATACCACCTCGTACCAGGGTGGTATTGTATGGTATTGTGTGGTATTTTTTTGGTCCTGTAATTTGTTCACCCAGAAATTTGTAGACCCAATAGATCATGATGAACTCGTCCCTTCTGTGCAAACATTTTCAAAAACGAATTAAAAGCGAAGAAGATACCATATGGTATGTAGTTGGTACCGAGAGGCGAAATTTTTTTTTCTCAAAAAATATTGAAAATTGATCTCATTTTGTAGAGCACTATGAACTCGTTCCATCTGTGCAGAAAAAATTAAAATCGGAGTTAAAACGAAAAAGAAATGAGTCGATTAAGAAAGCTAGGAAAAATAAAATGACATTTAATTCTCTATCTTTAGATCTGGATTTTCTAAATGAAGAGTCCATATTTAGTTATTGATTGGTGCATAACCATGGGTTATGCACCCTATCTTGAGCTTGGCTAGTAGGGGCCCTTATCTCTACTAATCATAATCAATTCTAGTTCTTTTGCAGTTTCCGCATGTTTTCGGTCGTCCTTGCGCTACGCTACTGTCAGCCGCCTGAGTTTCTCAGCTTCTTGACTATCAACACACCAACAGCACTATCCAACACCTGCTAGGCCTTCGCGGTGGTCATCGCCGGCCGCAATTCTCCGTTTCGCTTATTGCCAGCGAGGGCATTACGTGTCTGTACAGGCGTGCGAGGCATCCCGCTAGCCCACGTGTCTTTCATCCTCATCCGCCAAAGATAAAGGAGTAAAGTAATTTGGGGACTCTTGGCGCGTGTAGGCGTTATCCTTCTCTTATATGTTTTTTATTTCATTATTATTTCCTATCACTACCTTACCTTTTCCTTAATTAACAATTTTTATTGCGGTTTCACAGTTTGAGCTACCACCTGGGGCTTATCTTACCTACAATTAGACTGGTCCAATGCAGCCTGCATTTATGGGGTTGTCGCCATTAATGACAATCATGGAGTTCCAACGCAGAGAAATAAATGGCGAAAATCGGCAATTATGGAGGCGATCGGCAATTGGATCGCTATAAATGGGGGACGGTTTGCCGATTTCGGCATTTATGGAGGAGAGCTGTCTGCTGGGCGGCACAACCGACGGGGCTCTCTACCTTGCGCGTGCGGCGCACCGCCCAGCCCCGGCGGTTGTGCCGCCCAACAGCTTTTTTTTTAATTGTTTATAAGTTATTTAAGGTAATTGATTAAGGGAATTGAATGTAAATAATTAGGGGAAGGGGAATTATTGTTTGTATTTAGGCTTTTTAGTTTGTGTGTAACCTATGAATTGTACCATTTGAATTATTATGTCAACTCGTTAAGTTTTATCATTTTCAAGTGTTGTGTGTAAACCCAAATTAGGTCCATAATTTTTCTCCCAAAAAAATTCGGTCTCGAAATTTAACAAAATTCTATCAAAAAATTTGTATTTAAAACTGATGACGAACTATACAAAAATTAACATGAACAAATTATATTAAAGTTTCGATAAGTACATATTTAAATAAATGGAAAAACTTGAAATATTAAGATCCCCAAATATGGAGTTTGTTGCATTGGAGCAAAAGAAGGGGAAATGGGGTTCAATCCCCAAATTTGGTTGTGGTATGTGTTTCTTTGTTTGTTTTGTAGGTGGGCCTGCCAAAAGTCTAAAGACGAGCGAACTTCATCAGTTTTGCCGCCAGGATGTCTCGGATTTTACTTCCTAATCTTTTTATATCATACTATATTTGTTATTATTTGTTACATTTGCAGGGGTCTGCTGTCATGCTTTCAGCTTTCATGGGCTTCAATCAGTGACTTTCTCCCTGCAAAGGGTAGAATTTAAGTCACGATTTGTCCTATGCCGGAAAGGTATTAAAGAGCCGGCCATTCGTGGCAGAAAAGGCTCTCTTTTCGATGTCCGACATTTTGTTGGGCATTGTCCTTGCTTGTTTTTGCTTTATTTTTTCGCTTGAAAAAGCTTTTATTCTGTATCTGTGACAAAAAAAAATTAGGGAATCAGGGATGGATATTAATTTTAAAAAGTTTCTTTAAGTTAATCTCATCTTAAGAATTCATTTTATTTTAAAATAATTCGAGTGTAAAATTTTTTGTCCAATAAATCTTATGTTCGTAAAGTCATGTTCAAATTTGAATTGAATTCCTAATGTTAAGAATTTACTTGTCAGATTATGAAAGGTTAATAGGAATACCTGGATTCACGATGATAGATCGTCAGAAACTTGATGCGGAATTTGTATAACAAATTAACAATCTATGGCCGGACGATACCTTTGAAAGCACGATCCTAGCGGTACTATGATTTTTCTCAACCAAGACGCTGCAGTGAGAGCTCTCATCATCTTGATGGAGAGAAGAGGAGAAAGTGTTGATCTTGTGTATTGGGAAACACAACCTCGAACTCTTTATATACTAGTCACCCTGGGCTCCCATAAAATTCAAGATGACCATGTATTGGGTTTCCACCCAATGGACTCATATTGGGTTTGAGTTGTCTTGGGCTCCTCAATTTGATCACTTACAATTAGCCCACTTAACAAATAGCTAATATGATTGTGTAAAATATGTTATCCATATAATTAATTGTAGGGTTGATACCTTATGTTGACCCAAATTATACCCATAAAATCAAATTTAGCCAGTGGTTTCAGAAATTGTCATTGTGGCCTCAACTATACATCATATAGACTCAATTGGCACGACACGTGGCTTGACCGTCAAGTAAGATGGTCAACATCGTTGACCGTTAGTCGACAATTCAGCTTACTGCCATGTCAGGATTCAGGACCAAACAAAAAATAATCAAATTATTTTATTATTTTCTTTATTTAATTAACAAGATAATAATTAACAATAATAAAATCCAACAAAAAGACCATTCTTCTCAAATTAAACCCTTATCCCTCATTCGCCTCTCCACCACCACCGCCACCGCGACACCCTTTCTAACCTCCAAAATTCTCGTCTCCCTACATTGTCAACTCCCCCAACCTTTCTACCGCTTTTCCGCACCCTCCTTATCCCCTTCCCCTATAATCCTCTCCCAAGAAGAACTCAAGAAAATTACCGTCTGCGAGGCCGTCAAATCCAGCATGGTCATCATCCTTAGGACCGGCTCCACAACCAAGCACGCCGTTGACCTAATTTCTGATTTGCTCCAGCAAGGTAAGTTGAAGGAAATTATAGGCATCCCAACGTCCAAACAGACCCACCAACAAGCGTCGACTCTCGGAATCTCGCTTTCAGATCTCGACTCTCATCCCACCCTCGACCTTGCAATTAACGGCGCCGAGAAGGTTGACCCACATCTCAATCTGGTGAAAGAATGTGGCAGGTCTCCGCTTCGGGAGAAGATGATCGTGGGCGCCGCGAAGAAATCGGGATTGGTGAAGATGGTGTGCGGCAATGTCGAGATTTTGGGGGAAAATGGAGTGGCAATTTGGTTGTTTTAGGAGTTAGGGGAGAAATTAGGATATGGGTCTTGAGGGAGTGAATTTGTGGGAGTGGGATCCTGTGATGGACGCGGGGGAAGAAGGGTTGGGAAAGGGATGGGGCTGTGTGGGCCGAGTGAGCATAACATAGTGATTCACTAACTTTCAATATTGTTGACCGTTTAATTTTACAGAAATTCACGAATCTGACGAATTAAGTCTATATGGTGTATAATTGAGGCCAAAATAGCAATTTTTTAGATCATTAGGCAAAGTTGCTTATGTGGGTATAGTCCGGGCCAGAATAAGGTTTTAACACTTAATTATATTAGGAAATGAAATTTTCTAACAATCTCCTACTTCGGCTGCATATTTTTCATAAATAATCATATCACAAAATTCTGTAGGCGTGTGACCATATGCTATTTGCACTTAGACATCTCATGAACCCATCTGGTCCAGCTCATGTATCAATTATGGAACCAACGCGACTTTAATCACGACATGATAATGATTAAACCATCATGATCAGTACGCTAATACACTCAATAACATAGATCAAATATGGATGAGTGACATGAAAATTACATGCAATGTGATCTTGAACATGCTTATTTTCAATTGGTCCAATTTTATCCTTAAGTGAAATCAACTGAAATTCATTCATAGAATGTGACCACTGTATAACTGAAGGCACTTTAAATTTCAAAATAGACTCCAGAAATCCATCACTTTATTCTACAGAAATTGATTTAGTCATAATCTATTGAACACCTATAAATGACTCCCACTAAACAAAGTATCATCAGGAATAACACTCATGCGAGCAATATGCTCATGGAAAAAATGTACGTGTCCAACCTTTGGCTAATGGATAAGCAAGCATTAGTCATGTCCTTAATGTTCAATAAAAACTTGTCTATTTTAAACCTTCTCTTAACGTCCAGGAACTTAATGTCCATAACTTTGACATCACTATCAAATTACTGTCACTGTTGACCTTGAATGACTGAACAAAGTCTGTCACTATCAAATTATCTATCAAGGAAGATAGGAGCTTTGATGGATTGTGATTCGGGGCTAATTCAACATATTTTGGCCCCGGTTTGCTTAGATGTTTTTGCCAAATATTCTCATTAGAGGTTGGTTTTACGTGAGGTTCTTCGTGTTTGAGTGCTTTTTAGGACTTAACAGGTGGAACCAGCCTCGGAGTCGAAGGATTGGCGAAAAGGATCGAAAACCGGGAGAAGAGGTGAAAAAACGCAAGTTCACGGCTAAAGGCAGGAGTTCAAGGTCGTGCAAGACCGTGAAGAAGTGGAGATGACCGTGAAGCGCAAGGCGTCCAGAGCCAAGTTGAAGGTTTCACGGTCACTAAGACCGTGATCACAAGTAGTTTCCCGTGAACTGTTGTGATCGATGCGGAGCGTTTTGGCGCAAGGCGTGAGAGTTCACGGACACGTTTGAGAGTTCACGGCTGTGAACTTAGGCCGTGAACTCAGCTCTTGCCGTGTTTAAAAGCTGAGCTGCAAGGAAAGAGAAGGGAGAGCTACTTTTTGTGAGAGAAACACTTCTTCTGCATTTTAGTTAGAGAACCAGAACCAAGAGAGAAGAAGGAGTTAGGGCTTGGCTTCAAATGAGGTTTTGGGAAGATTTCCCCAAGGAAATCCCAGCTCAAGGTTGAAGAAGAGAGGAGGCATCCCCACAAGATGGTTTCAACCTTTTTCTCTTTTGTTCTTCCCACTTCTTCCATGGAGTAGTCCTCCTCCCACTTGGGTGTAGTGAAACCCTAAACCCTACTATGTAGTTTTCTTGTATGTGGTTTGAATTGATATTGGCCATTGTTCAATTTAATGTTTGAGGTATTTTTCATCCTGATTTGGCATGCTTGTGCTTAACAATTTAGGGGTTGTGCATATTTTGTGCTTAGCATCCTAGGGTTGTGCATAATTGTGCTTAGTACCCCTAAGTTTGTGCATTTAGGTTCTATTAATCAAAGCAGTCAAAATCGGGATTTTACCTAAAATCGAAAACTAGGGTAAAATCGGAATCGTAAAATCGAATCGTAAAATCGTAGGATTTTAAGTTCCTTTTTGAAACTAACATATAATACAAGTAATAAGGTAAATCATTAATAACACAACGGATAGAGCTCATGGGGCTTGGCTCTTGTTTTTCATCTAGGTAGTTTAATTCAAAGTAGTACTCCAACACGGTTAATTTCAACATCATATGCTAATTGTGATTTAAAACTAAGAATAAATGAACTCAAATCGAATAATTAATGCTAGTGGATTGGTACAATTATATTCATTAATCAATTAAGTATTTAATAATGATTTTAATTCTTACATACGTACAATATTAGGACAATTGTTATACGGATGAAATCAAAAGGCGAAGGGAAAGGGATTAATAGAGCCATCATTTTTTTATTTTTTTCTTTTCAAATATATTTTAATAGGAAAAATATATGAGAAGATCACCATCATTGCCCTTTCCGCCGAAGCAATTCCGCTTTTTTTTAAATTTGCTATAACCACCTATTTTGTTTTCATAGGATTTAAATCCCGATTTTGGTACGATTTTACGATTTTAACGATTTTAATCCCGATTTTAAACGATTTTAAGGTCCACCAATTTTATAGTAAAATCAGGATCGGAATCCCTATGTAAAATCCTGAAATCCTACGATTTTACGATCAAAATCCCGATTTTGACTGCTTTGCTATTAATCTAATTTGCCAACTTAGTCTAGTTTAGTGAGGAAAATCCCCTTTTTAAGGGAGACTCAATCGAGTTGGTTTTCCTTCCGCTTTCCAAGCCACCTAAACTAGGTTGAGTTAGGGCAATCCTCAATATTGAATTGAACATGTCGATTAATCGTGGTTAAACCGTCCGACCTTAGAGTTGAGTGACGAAGTAAGCCGATTACCGATTGTCTAAACTAAGAGGGTCAAGTGACACGACCTTTCATCCTCACCTCAGTTTAGCAATCGAGACTGTGGCCCCGACCACATACGCTTTTCTTTGCGGTTCACGATTAGCGTGCCGAAGGCAATCGTTCCAACCCATGTAGCATGGTAACAATTTAGGGGGAAGCGAAACCCAAGTGACTTTCCCACAAAAGAGTTTTCAAACCAAATTACTTTTGCCTTCTTTCATTTCAATTGGCAAACTTTTAAACCAAAGTTTTATCGCTAGATAATGATTTCAACAACCGAAGTAGGGGTAGACGGACCGGTCTGGGTCGATTTATAGATACGTGCCCTATACTGCACCCGATTAGAGTTTAAAAACTTGGGCTCTAATTGGGGTTAAATTGTAGTGTAGATTTGACCGAGTCAAGTTTTTGCGCCGTTGCCGGGGAACAACAATTTGTTATTCTGAAAAAGTTGTTGGTTGTTAATCTAGCTTTTAATTTCAAGTGTTGCAAGTGTGTGTTCTTTGCTTGTGCTAGACTTGGTATTTTCCGATTGTGTGTAGGAGGTGCATGACCCAGTACAACCCGACTTTCCGACTCCTCGGAAGCCCCGACTCTAATGGGGAGCTGTATGACCCCACTCGAAGCAAAGTTAGATCAGTTAATCATAGTGATGCTTGAGGATAGAGGGCATGGAAGCGGGGTAGAAACACCTAGGGATAGGTGTGAAAGTTGGAACCATGAGGATGTGGAGTGCCACCAGATGACCCGCCTTGAGGAGGAAGTGATGAACTTTGTCGCCTCCACCTCCAAAAAGTTTGAAAGAATCGACAGATTCATGGGAGAGGCAACAGAGTTGTTCTCGTCCATAGAGGCGGGGTTGGAGAGTCAAGAAATCCACTTGATCAACCTGGCCACAAGCATTAGGGGTATCTCGCAGGCGGCTCAATCTTGGAAATCAAGCAACGAAGTTGATGTGGTGGCAGTGACTCTTCAAAGTGGAAGAGAGGATAAAGAGCAATCCCCAAAGAGGAAACGACTCGCTATAGAAGAGCAACAAGGGTGCGGCAACCTCCCCTCGCAGCCGGAAGCCACGAGTGATAGGGACCTTGACTCTACAACCCCTAAACCGACCTCTCAAGAAGAGGATGTCACTCCGAGCCCTCAATCGGAGCAAGAAAAGAGGAAAGCAACCCCAACTCTCCCTTATCCTTCACGGCTTCGCAATGACCGCATGGCGGCAGAGTTCACCCACTTCATGGAGTTGATGAACCAGTTGCATTTGAACATCCCCTTCTTGGAGGCCGTCACCCAAATGCCCAAGTATGCCAAGTACTTGAAAGTCCTCCTCACCAACAAGAAGAAGCTTGAGGGGGTGGCTACTGTGAGCTTGAATGAGGAATTCTCCGCTCTCGTGCAGAACCACTTGCCCCCAAAACGCAAAGATCCAGGGAGTTTCACTATTCCTTGCTTTATTGGTGACGTATGCATAGGAAAGTCCTTGGCGGACCTAGGAGCTAGCATTAATGTGATGCCCTACAAGTTGTTTCAAAAGTTAGAACTAGGAGAACTTAGAACCACTAGTATTCACATTCAGTTGGCGGATAGGTCTGTAGTACGACCTAAAGGTGTTGTGGAGGACTTGCTCATTAAAGTAGGACCTCTCGTGTTTCCTGTGGACTTTGTTATCTTAGACATTGATGAGAAAGTTAAGGTCCCCCTCATTTTGGGAGGCCTTTCTTAGCCACCGCCAAGGCCTTGATTGATGTGCATGGAGGTAAGTTGGTGCTTAGGGCAGGAGAGGAGGAGGTCACATTCTCCATTGATGATAGCATGAAGCTGTCTCGTTGTCATGATGATTTTGATTACTGCAAAGAGGTTTTTGACTTCATGGAGGAACTCGCGTCTGCGGGTGCCCTAGCTATTAACCCTTTTGAGGAGTGTTGCTTGGTAGGAATTGACGCCACGGACTCTCCAGAGGATGATAGCCAACTGATGCAAGACCAAGAAGTGGAGGCATTGCCCTCCATGGCGAAAATCCCTACCTCTCTGGAGGAACCCCCCAAGTTGGAACTAAAACTGTTACCTCCCCACCTCGAGTACGCCTTTTTGAGGGATGATGGGAAGCTTCCAGTCATCATCAACGCCAATCTCACGCCCGAGCAGAAGGTGGAATTGATTGAGGTCTTAAGGCGTCACAAGAGGGAAATAGCATGGAAGATCACAAATATCCGAGGGATTGGGCCAAACTTTTGTTCTCACAAGATCCAGCTGGAGGAGGGGGCCAAACCTGTTCGGCAACCGCAGAGGCGAGTGAATCCAAATCTGGAAGAAGTAGTGAAGGCAGAAGTGATCAAGCTGCTAGATGCCGGGATTATCTACCCTATCTCGGATAGCCAGTGGGTGAGCCCAACCCAGTTGGTCCCTAAGAAGGGAGGAATGACGGTGGTAGCCAATGAAATGGAAGAGCTTATAGCGACAAGAACGGTGACGGGGTAGAGGGTGTGCATTGACTATCGAAGATTGAACGAAGCCACGCGAAAGGACCACTTCCCTTTGCCTTTCATTGATCAAATCCTGGAGAGACTCGCTGGGCATGGTTACTACTTCTTCTTGGATGGGATAGTAGGATACTTCCATATCCCCATTGCCCCAGAAGATCAAGCCAAGACGACATTCACATGCCCCTTCGGGACCTTTGCTTACCGATGAATCCCGTTTGGATTATGCAATGCCCCGGCAACATTCCAGAGGTGCATTGTGGCCATCTTTGATAAACTAGTTGGGGAGATAATGGAAGTATTCATGGACAACTTCTCAGTGTTCGGATATTCATTCTCTCACTGTCTGGCCAACTTGGAGAAGGTCCTCGAGCGATGTGAGGAAACCAATCTAGCCTTGAATTGGGAGAAGTCCCATTTTATGATCCGGGAGGGCATTGTGTTGGGTTACAAAATCTCCAAGCAAAGAATCGAGGTGGATCGCGCCAAAGTTGAGACAATAAGCAAACTACCTCCCCCTACCACAGTTAAGGGCATAAGGAGTTTCCTTGGGCATGCGGGGTTTTACCGTCGTTTCATCAAAAACTTCTCGAAGATCGCATTGCCCTTGACCAAGCTTTTGGAGAAGGACGCCTCATTCCTTTTCACAAAGGAATGATTTGATGCTTTCAACATCCTTAAAGAGAGGCTCACCAATGCCCCCATAATGGTCTCACCAGATTGGAACCTCTCCTTCGAGCTTATGTGCGATGCTAGTGATTATGCAGTGGGAGCAGTTTTGGGTCAAAGGAGGGGTAGACACTTCCAACCTATTTGCTACGCCTCAAAGACACTAAATGATGCTTAGGAGAACTACACAACCACGTAGAAAGAGCTATTAGTAGTAATCTTTGCTTTCGAAAAATTCAGGTCTTATCTGGTGGTCTCCAAGGTTATTGTCTACATAGATCACTCTGTCATCCGCTTCTTGATGAGCAAGGCGGATACCAAGCCTCGACTGATTCGATGGATCCTACTGCTGCAAGAGTTCGATGTGGAGATCAAGGATAAAAGGGGGGCCGAAAACCTTGCAGCTGACCACCTCTCGTGGCTCGAAGGGCCGGGAAGTAGCACGCATCCGAGAGAGATAAATGACACTTTCCCCGATGAGAGTCTACTCGCCCTCGCCGCTGCAGAGAGTATCGCCCCTTGGTTCGCCGACTTTGCCAATTACTTTGTTGGGAAGCAGCTACGCAAGGGGATGACTACTCTTAGGTTAAGGAAGGTTCTTTCTAAACTAGCCTAAAAGGTTGGTGCATTATAACTCCCGATGGGCCATATGTAATACGCCCCTGGGGGGGTGTATGTTTATCAAAGTAACGCAGCAACGACTCAATCGAAGAATCGATTGAGCTCGAATCAAGAACGAAGCGCTCTTAATACGAACTTGGGATAAAACGGAACCAACGGACAATTCCACACCTGGGGAAAGCTCGTATGGTATAAAAAGGTAGCTGCTCGACCACGATTGAAGAGGATATTCAATCGATACAAAGCTCACAAGCTTGGAATCCACCAAACTCAAACAAGTCGCAACTTGCACAAAACCAAAGGTTTTTCGATTAATCAAAGTCTTATGTTTTACAACGTAAATAGAACGGTATTTAAAGGAAAATAAAACCTAATACAAATCTAGATGAACAAGGAAACAATTAAGGTAAAAACAAACTCTAAAAAGGACTCTAAATTCGGCCATAAACTTCCTTTCTTGAAGCACAAGTAAGCTGCCCGCAAAACAGTCAAAAGGCAGCTTTCGTACTAACTTCGCGCCTTTCGTTCGAGACCTTCCAAAACTCCGATCTTTCATCCGATTCCTTACCTTGGTAGATAAACATACCTAGTTTCATGTTGTAGAAGCCTTTGGTCTCGAATCAGATCCATGCTCCTTGAATTGAGCTCCAAAGTAGGCTTCACAAAACAGTTTTCTGCCTTAGCCATTTTCTGGCAGTTTTCCAGTTTTGAGGTAGCAACTTTGAGGCCTTGGAAAACAACCTTAATGACATCATCTGGCTCCATAAAGCATACCATTGGAAAGATGGTAACTTGATCTGCAAAACAAACCCTTAAACTTGAATTTCCACCAAGCACATTGAGAGAACCATGCCTCCAAAGTATGTACCCTGAACACGGATTTTGACTTTGCCAAATCCTGCCCTTCTTCTTTCCAACCTTGATAGCTTCTTTGGCAAGTAATTGTGATTTGTAGAAGTGGCCAATTTGGATCATATCAGGCTCCCCCTCTTCAAAAAGCTTTGCCCTCAAAGCTGGTGCCTTCATTTTCTCAAATGCTTCACAGAATTGCTGCCAAAATGGATCGAAAGTAGGCTGCTCAAACACAATCTTTGGCATAATTGTGGCAGCTTTAAATTCACACTCAATCCGTTCCAGTAGCTTCATGGGACTCCAAATGATCGTTCCCACGAAATAATTGAAATAAATTTGACCCAGAACTGGTTCGTATAAATTCCCAGATTCCGGCCAAAATTGTGCAGTTTCCGGTGACTTTGAGTTTTCCGGCGACTTCTTCGAATTTGGGCATTTATGCTCAACGCCTTCTTGACTCAATTCAAGGCTATCGTCGTGTTCACCTTGATTCCAGGAAGCGATCCCATCCAATTCCCAGCTTCGAACCTGCCCGAAACGTTGCCAATCGTCAGCGCCGAGTTTCCCGCCGTCGGGAAGTTCAATTTTCCCAGTTTCTGGCGACATAAACCCAGAAACCGGCGAGAGAATCCCAGTTTCCGGCGAGGCTAATCCCAATTTGGGCGTTTTTGATTCTTCCATCGCCGCGACCAATTGAAGACCCCTAAACCTTCCTTGGACCCTCCCGAACGTTTCTACAGCCTCCATTGGTTTCGATTCACTACCAATCGCTCCAATCGAATCTTCCTTTTCTTCTTCAAAGTTTCGGCCAAAAATTGTCGAATTGGGCGTTTGGACCTCAGGAATCGTTAGGATGAATTGGTGATTCCTACAGCTTCGGAAATTCCTTCCCAACGAGTCTGCACTATCGGATTGCTTCAATTCGTGCCCAGCTGCTCCATCCATTAAGCTCGAATTTTGGTCCTCTCTGCTCGTTTTCAGGGGTACTCGATCTCGATCTCGATCCGGCGAATTAGGTGTATACGACACCAATAGGCCTGTGGATGAGCTTCTTGATATAGAATGGATCGTGTCGGGATTAGTGGTTGAGGTCGACGTTGCCCCGAGCGCTCTGACCAATTGGCCCTCTCTCCTGCCCTGTTCTCTCATAGAAAAACAGAGGCGGCCAGTATTCGTCTCTTCAAAAACGAGCTTGGGCTCGGACTTCGCTTCTTCAGCTCTGTTCGGTTCTCCTCGACTCACCCTCATTCCTTCAATCTCCATGGCCGCTTTGAAAGTGTCGTTGTGCTCTGGTTTTCCTTCATCAATGTCGGCAGAACTGCCAGCGTTTAAACTCTGTTCTGTCGTCGCTAAACAGAGGTCGGGACAGGGGATGGGTTTCGACACTAGAACCGCCTTTGAAAGCTTTCGAAAGCTCATGAAATTAAATCCAATGCTTCGCTGTACCCATAACTGAGCTTGAACGCTTTTTCCCTCGTTTCTATTCTCCTCCATCTGCTTCAAATCGTCAAAAACTTGATCGGGTGATAGAGGCTTCAATTTTATCTTCCTGCCTTCGTGTTTGAATGTGTATGAATTCTCCCAGCCATCATGTAACACCCTTCTGTCAAATTGCCAAGGTCTACCGAGCAAGATATGGACGTTTTGCATTGGAACTACGTCACAAAGCACAAAATCCGAATACTTACCAATGCTGAATTCGATTTGTGCTTGTTTGTTGACCTTCACGTCTCCATGTTCATTGAGCCAGGTGAGATGATACGGTTTAGGATGCTTCTGGGTTTTCAATTCAAGCTTTCTTACGGAATATTCGCTGATCAAATTAGCGCAACTCCCTCCATCGATCACCAACGAAGCCACTTTTCCATTGATCAAACAGCGACTGTGAAACAGATTGTCTCTTTGCTCGTCAGATTCACGATGTTTAATGACGACTGCTGGCTGCTTCTTTTGGCCATGAACTCGTGCCTCTTGCTCCATGGTACTGCCCTCTATCAACTCCTTTGCTCGAAGGGAGTTTTCCATCACGATTTCACACGAAACAGCAGCTGGAACTTATGAAACAGGGGCTGCCCTGTTTTTGACGAAATTTGCTTGTACGAAACAACACGTTTTCGCCTTCTTCTTCGCCCTTGTGTAGAACCGGGCTCTGATACCACTTAATACGCCCCTGGGGGGGTGTATGTTTATCAAAGTAACGCAGCAACGACTCAATCGAAGAATCGATTGAGCTCGAATCAAGAACGAAGCGCTCTTAATACGAACTTGGGATAAAACGGAACCAACGGACAATTCCACACCTGGGGAAAGCTCGTATGGTATAAAAAGGTAGCTGCTCGACCACGATTGAAGAGGATATTCAATCGATACAAAGCTCACAAGCTTGGAATCTACCAAACTCAAACAAGTCGCAACTTGCACAAAACCAAAGGTTTTTCGATTAATCAAAGTCTTATGTTTTACAACGTAAATAGAACGGTATTTAAAGGAAAATAAAACCTAATACAAATCTAGATGAACAAGGAAACAATTAAGGTAAAAACAAACTCTAAAAAGGACTCTAAATTCGGCCATAAACTTCCTTTCTTGAAGCACAAGTAAGCTGCCCGCAAAACAGTCAAAAGGCAGCTTTCGTACTAACTTCGCGCCTTTCGTTCGAGACCTTCCAGAACTCCGATCTTTCATCCGATTCCTTCCCTTGGTAGATAAACATACCTAGTTTCATGTTGTAGAAGCCTTTGGTCTCGAATCAGATCCATGCTCCTTGAATTGAGCTCCAAAGTAGGCTTCACAAAACAGTTTTCTGCCTTAGCCATTTTCTGGCAGTTTTCCAGTTTTGAGGTAGCAACTTTGAGGCCTTGGAAAACAACCTTAATGATATCATCTGGCTCCATAAAGCATACCATTGGAAAGATGGTAACTTGATCTGCAAAACAAACCCTTAAACTTGAATTTCCACCAAGCACATTGAGAGAACCATGCCTCCAAAGTATGTACCCTGAACACGGATTTTGACTTAGGCAAATTCTGCCCTTCTTCTTTCCAACCTTGATAGCTTCTTTGGCAAGTAATTGTGATTTGTAGAAGTGGCCAATTTGGATCATTTCAATATGCCAAGTGGGCTTAGTAATTAGGAATATATTATTAGTTAATTATTGGGGTATTCGTATTGTTTATTGTGTCTTGTGAGTAAGTTATTATTTACTTGTTGGATAGGATTAGTTTACCTTGTTGGAGAGGGAAGAGGGTTGTGAGAGTAGTCCTATAAATATGTACGTTGTTCTTTGGTTTTAATACGTTAATGAATAATAAACCAGTTTAGTAGTATTCGTAGTATTGTTAGGAGTAGAAGTAAAGTAGATTATCCTTCTCTCGACGCATTAGAAACTATAATGCGCCAGAGGCATTGAATGCCCAAGGAAACCCATCTCCAATAGATCCTCTTAGGTTAAGGAGGGTTCTCTCTAACTAGTTTAGGAGGCATTGAATGACTAAGGAAACCCAACTCAAATTGAGCCTCTTTGGATAAAGGAGGTTTCCTCTCTAAACTAGCTTAGGAGGCATGAAATGCCCAAGAACACCCATCTCAAATTGAGCCTCTTAACCTGAGGAGGTTTCCTCTCTAAACTAGCCTAAGAGGCATGAAATGCCCAAGAACACCCATCTGAAATTGAGACTCTTAACATAAGGAGGTCTTCTCTCTAAGCTAGGTTAGAATGGCAATTAGATTGATAGACTCTCACACAACACAATCATTTCTGAATAATACCTCCACATTCCCATTAAAACGCAAACACACACAAATCATTCAATTCATACAAGTATTCACATAATTGTAGCTAGGGTTTACAAACACCCAAGTGAAAGAAGGGACTACTCCATGCTAAGAGAAGGGAAAACACAAGAGAGGGAAAGAGAAACCATCAAGAAGATGCAAGCCTTGCTCCCTGTGTTGAAAAAAATCCTCCTTTGAGGGAGGAATTCCCAAAACCTTGCTTAGAGATGAAACCCTAGCTTTTCCTCTTCTTTGGTTTGTCACTTTCTCACTCTAAAATCTGAAGAAGTAGAAGTTTCTCGCACTAGGTCTCTCCCTCTTCTTCCTTTCTAATGGCCTTTTAAGTTGAGATCGCGCCCAGTTCACGGCCTGAGTTCACGGCCGTGAACATTGAAACGTGTCCGTGAACTCAGTGTTGAGACCAAAAAACACCGCTTCATTGGCTCGGGTTCACGGCCAGTGGCCTCTGTTCATGGTCTTAACAACCGTGAACATCCTGGGCGTCAGTAACCTAAAAGTACTATCTAGACACTCCTTGGTTCACGGGTTTTGGCTCCAGTTCAAGGGCCTTTTCTTCCAACTTTCGACTCCGTATTTGGTTTTACCTGTTAGGATCTGAAACACACTGAAACACAAGCAACCTCGCATAAAACCAACCTTTTGGAGTTCAATTGCAACAAACGTCAAAGAGAATCGGGGATAAAAAGTGTACAATTAGGCCCGAATCAATACAACATTCATATGAAAAGTTTTGAATAGTTTTTATACTTAAAATTGAGTCAGAATAATATTCATGTTTTTGTGCTTGTTTTCAATGAAATACTATTTCTTTATCAATGATTTGTTTTATCCTTATTAACAGTTTGGTGCAAGGGTGTGAATGTTGGTTTGCTTGATTGATTTTTTCCACATTCAAGAACTAATAATTGTTTGATTGGATCACATGTGCATTATGTTGCAGTGTATCGAAGATGTTGAAAATAAGTGTTGTGCTTTATGATCGCCGAAAATGACAATAATTTTTTACAAGATAGAATGACAATGTAAAGCGATATCAATGGATCACAGAACGTTAATAATGTCAATAGAAATTGCGATAACAGCCACTCTGTTTGGCAACAAGGGGGGTGCAAGTTCGAGGGGGTGCAAGTTGAGGGGTAAATTGTTGGGGGGTGCAACTTGGTGGAGGGTGTAAGTGGAGGGGTAAATTGTTGTTTGGATGAAAAAGTAGGGGGTGCAAATAGAGTGAAAAGTAAGTAATTATATTGTTATAAAATAGATTTATCAATTTATAAAATATTATCACAAAATAATAAAATGAAAATTCAATATATAATAATAAGAATAATATCTTTAATAAAAATAATCATTATATAATAATGCTCAAATATAATTATTTATAAAAACAATAATAATCATTGGTCGAGCAATCTCGAAACTCAAAACCCAACTCGTAACTGGTCATCCTATGGGGGTTCTCGTGCCTAACTTTAAATTGAATATGGTCAAACTTAGTGAAACACGTTCGAATCTGTAAGTTTTAACTACTTATTAAAGTAATCGAGTCAACTAAACTGTTCCTCTCTATCTTTTCAACTAACGCTTCTTATCTCTAATTTCAATGCCAATTCAGGTCAACCAAGAGATATCGATTTGACTAGACGAACATTGACAAACTTGCTCTTGGAGTCAAACGGTCAACCCCAAACAAGTTCTACATTAATATAGATATAAGAAAAAATTAATAATATTAATTATTATGTAATTATAATCTAATTAAAAATTCATAATTCCCCTCCTCCCCCTTCCCCCTTCCTTCCCTTGCACCCCAATTTGGGGGTAAGCCGAAATATGAATTTACGCTCACGTTTTGCACCCCTCTACTATTACAAAATAACCAAACGAGGGTAAACACCTTGGTACTTTTACTCTGTGAGGTTCAGTTTATCGCTAAGTTGTGGTTTTTTTAGTATGTTTCACATCCTAGCAGGTGAAATTAACCCATGGAACGAAAGTTGGACGAAAAGGGCGGAAACCGCTTAAAAGGGAGCCACAACAGCTATTCACGGTGGAGGCCAGAGGTTCACAATCATCTAGACCGTGAAGAAGAGGTGTGGGTCGTGAAGAGCAAGGTGTCCAAAAGATTTTGTCCATCTTGCGAGCATAAACCAGTTCACGGTCGCTCAACCATAAAGACCAGCTCCAACTTTAATGAAATAGCGCGTCTTTGCTCGACATCATGGTCCGGGACAAATGTTCACGGCCGTGAACTGAGACTGTGAAAGTTGAAACATCGTCGATCTGGGTACATAAAGGGGGACAGAGCTGAAAAGGAAAAGGGAGGAACCTAGTTAGAGAGAATCCTTCTTCTTCTGATTTCTAGAGTGAGAAAGTGACGAATAGGAGGAGAATGGAAGTTAGGGTTTCATCCAAGAGCAAGGTTTTGGGAATTTCTTCCTCTAAGGTTGATCTCCACACCACAAGGAAGAAGGCAAACATCTCCAAGATGGGTTTCTCTCTTCTCCCTTGTGTATTCCCTCTACTTAGCATGGAGTATACCTTTCTTTTACTTGGGTGTTTGTAAACCCTAGCTACAATTATGTGAATGTTTGTATGGATTGAATGACTTGTGTGTGGTAGTGTTTTAATACAAGTTATGAGGTATTTTCATGAAGATTGTGTTGTTTTTTGCATTTCCAATTCTTATGCCATTTTTAACTAGGTAGAGGGAAATCCCCTTCTTGTTAAGAGGATTTTAAAAGCTGGAGTTCCTTGGCCAATTGTGTCACCTACCTAGGTTGAATTAGGGCAAACCTCTTAATAAGTATTAGCACCTTGGGTAGGTTATAATTTGGACGTTTGAAATATGGTTCGAGGGCGAAGTGTAAGCAACCCTCAGTCGATTGAGCCAAGAGAGCTACCTTGGTAGCTTGATTTGAAATCCCTTGGCCTAGTCACCGAGAGAGTGATGGTTTTTCACTTGTTGCACTTCCCTACGGTTTACAACCGCCTTTACCACACATTTGCATTAGATCCGACAAATCATGATTGTTTAGCTAAGGGGAGCAACACCCGGGTGAAGCCTTCTCAATTAGTATTCAAATTGTTTACTTTTCCAATCGTTTTAGTTATGAATCGAAGTTTTAACAAAAAACCAATTGCTAGATAATGTTTCAAACAATCGAAGTAGGGGTACATTGACCGGATTTGACTTGTAAAACATACTTGCCCTATATTTCACCCAGTTAAGGTTTATACTTGGGCCTTAATTGGGATTTTAATGTGATATTCGGGACGAGTCAAGTTTTTTGTGCCGTTGCTGAGGAACCTTCAATACATTATTTTGAAAACATTTTTTGGTGTTAATCTAGTGTTTACTTTTTGTTTTGTGAGTGGAATATTTCTTGTGTTAGAAGAGTTGTGTTTCTTTTAAGTGTGTGCAGGAGGGTGTATAACCCGGAGTAATTCGACACCTTTGGCACCACTAGACGAGAATCTCAACCGCACTCTCCGAATCTGGGCTCGTGAGAGGGAGCTGGCAGAAGCAAGGAAAAGGATTGGAGAGAGGGGACAACCACAAGTTGGTCCCGAAGTTGAAGGAGTTTTAGTTGAGGAAGAGTTTGAATCAGAGGAAGAGGAAGGAAGTGAAGCCGAGATGGCGGCTAATCAAAATGCTCTAGAGGGATCTGAAGAACCGAGGACCATGGGCTAGTACATGGTTCCACTGGTGGCAGACATTCAACAGAACATTTTGCATCCACTCATGGCCGCCCACAATTTCGAGATCAAGTCCGACCTCGTCACAATGATCCAAAACAATGTTCAATTCCATGGGCTTAAAGATGAGTCTCCGAGGGAACATGTTCGGAGGTGCATCAAGATTGTGGTAAGTATGAAGATCAATGGGGTGCCCGAAGATTCTTTGAAGTTGAGGCTATT